CCTGGGCAGCGAGACCTCATCTCTACAATAAATCAAAAAATCAGCCGGGCCTGGTAGCGCATGCCTGTAATTCTGGCTGCTTGGAAGGCTGAGGTGGAAGGATCGCCAGAGCCCAGTAGGTCGAGGCTGCGGTGGCCGGGAGCAGCGACTGCACTCCAGTCTGGGTGACAGAGTGAGATTCCAACTCAAAAAAAAAAAAGAAAGAAAGAAGCAAGGTGGAGTCAGGGTGGCCATTTTAATGTCAGTGGTTGTCACCTTTGAAGAGGTGGTGTTGCCCGCTGTCTGGGCACTCCAAAGGGCCCCAGAGTAGGAATTAAAGACATTGCCTCTCCATGTATTTGAAATTCAAGGTACAGTCATTTCAATTAAATATTTTTAAAGAGCCCGTATATTCTTCAAGTTAATTTCTGAGCTAAGATGCCCTCTTTTTCTGGTAAACTGTGGTGATGGGTTTTGCTTTATTTTTTAAAACTCTTTTCCCTGAGCAGGGGTCCCCCATCCCTGTGGCTTGTGCACATTCGAAACACTTAGGGTTTTGATGCCAAGTGGAGTTTGCAGTGTGTGACCTTAATGTTTCTGAAGATGCCAGGTATGTTGCCAGAGATTTGACAAAAAGCACTCTCCCTTCTCCTCCTTTCCCTTCTGTGTCCCACAGCTTTGGAGACAGTGCTGCTGCTGATGCTGGACATCGCCTTGTTTGGCTGGAAGATGCTCAGGCTCTGATGGGAGAAGCCTTCAGAATAGATAAGAAACCTGATCCTGCGAATTGGGAGTATAAGTCTCTCTACCGAGGGGACATAGCGAGGTATCCATCATGTTTTTCCTGATTTTCACTGTGGGAAAGTAACTTCGCGCTCCCCAGCGCTCTCAGCTTGGTGTTTCTGTGCTCATCCCCTTCTCTCTCTGTCTCTGTTTCTCTCCCTCTCTTTCTCTCTCTTTGTCTTTCTCTCTCCCTCCCTCTTTCCCTTTCTCTCTCCTTTTTTTTTTTTGAGTTGGTGTCTCACTCTATTGCCCAGGCTGGAGTGCAGTGGCACACTCATGGCCACCCCAGCATCCACCGTTGGACTCAGAAGATTCTTCCACCTCAGCCTTCCAAGTAGCTGGAGCTACAGGTGCATGCTGCCATGCCCAGCTAATTTTTTGATATATTGTTAAGACAAGGTCTTGCCAAGTTGCCCAGGCTGGTCTCAAACCCGTGGGCTCAGGCAAATTTCTTGGCCTCCCAAAGTTCTGGGATTATAGGCTGAGCCACCGAGCCTAGTCTCTGTCTCTCTCTCTCTCTCTCTCTCTCTCTCTCTCCCCCCCTCCTTCTTTCCCTCTCTACCTCCCCTCTCTCCCCCTCCTTCTCTCTTTCCCTTCCTCCCTCCTCCTTTCTCTCCCTCCCTCCCTCCCTCTTTCTCTTCCTCTCTCCCTTGCTCCCTCTTTCCTTCTTTCCCTCCCTCTTTCTCTCTCTTTCTCTCTTATAGATTCCATTGGGTTTTACTTGTTGTTGAGTTGTTTAGACCCACTTCTCATCTCATACCCTAAAATGAAGTCTTAACCCTAAGGTCAGGTCAGACAGATTTCATTTATCCCTGGTGCTTGGCACAGTGCCTGGCATAGTAGGTATTCAATAATATTCGTTGAATATATGCATCTGGCAATACCGTTCAATAATTGCGACAGGGTGTCTGGTAATCATTTGGTCTCACCTAGATGCCATTTTTAAAAGTTACAGAAGGCTTTTATGTATGCCATCGACAAAATAACATTTAACAGTAGTAACTTTTTCAAAATGTTCCCAGCATGCACTATCAGATAATCATAAATAAGTAGTGGTGTTTGCTTCAGGAATGAGCTTGAACTTTTCTCCTGTAATCTATCCATCAATATTATTGCAGTCCTTACTAGACCCTAAGACATTCAGCATGTCATAAGCAACTTGGGACATAAAGAACAATAGCACACGGGCTCCTTCCGAAACAACTCACAGAAAGCGAAATGGAAGGAGAGTCATGTGTCCTGGGTGGTGAGGACCAGAGGAGGCCTCAACCGTCATTCTTTATGGTGACGTCCCATGACCTTGCTGTACCTCCACATTTCCTTCGTCATCTCTCACCCTGAATTGTACTTCACCTCAGAGACAGTTTCCACTAACATTTCCTTTATGATTGGTTGATATCAATTGTTTTCCAGTGCCTACTTAACCTACCTACTGCTAAGTAAAACATCCTGGCTGAGAATAAGTGATTATCATATTTAAAATGTATTCGTACATTTTTGGATGTTTTTTTTTTGGATGTACATGTCGGGGTCTCACCCTGTCACCTAGGCTGGAGTGCAGTGGCACAATCACAGCTTCCAGAACCTTGACCTCCTTGGCTCAGCCTCCGTAGTAGCTGGGACTACAGGCTCACGCCACGATACCTGGCTGTCTAATTCTTTGATTTGTTTTTGCATTAAATTTTTGATTTTTTTTATAGAGACAAAGTCTTACTGTGTTACCAAGGCTGGTCTCGAACTCCTGGGCTCAAGTGATCCTCCTGCCTCAGCCTCCCAAAGTGCTGGGTTTACAGGTATGAGCCACCACGCCCAGCCTTGAGTGATTTCAGTACTCTCTGAAGTCTTGGTGCCACAGACCTGGTGGAGTCCCAGTAGAAGATGGGACACCACCAAACACTGATGGGGCATGTGGTCTGGAATGTGCTCCATTGTTGTCTTTTGGCTTGTGTTAGCCTGTCTGATCCTCACAGCTCTGTGAGGGGGAAGGAGAGCTCTCCTCGTTTTACAAATGGGGTAAAGGAGCCTCTTGGGGCTCGAGACACATGACCAGGGAGCAGCGGGGCTGGGACGGAGCCTGTAACTCTGGCTATCTGCAGGGACACATGAGGCAGGGTGTCTGGGGATGTTCCCGCATTGGGAAACAGAGGACTGTGGTTATCACTCTGATGAGGCAGCATAGTGAGACCCTCAGCTCTGTTAAATAAACATAAATAAATAATGGTCATGAAGGAGAGCAAACTGGCTTTTTTTTTTCCGCCTCAGAAAAGTGCAAAGCTAGGCTTTTAACTTAAAATGTGTTTCCTAGGGAATGACAGGCATACTTAGGACCAGTTAGTACTGTCCTATCTCATCATCTGTTAAGGTGGTTTTGAATCATAAGTGGAAGGGCAAGAGCTTACTCTAAGATGAGCAGGAGGATTCAGGAGAGGGTAGAGACGGTGTTCGAGAGAGAATTCACAAGTGTATGTGAGAAGGGATGCCCTCAAGTGGGGTCACTGTGCTCAGGCGTGAGTGGGGGAAGGATACAGAGAGGGACCACTGACAGCAGAGAGGCCCTGGAGGTGCCAGGGAGCTGGGCCTGGGCCAGGTGACAGGCGGTAGAGGACGCTTTCCCTGCCCTTGCCTCCCCACAGCACTTTATTAGGAAACGTTTCAGATACACAGCACAAGTCAGGAGAAGCAAACAGTGCCCCCACGCCTGCACTCCCATCGGCCTTACACTGTGTGGCTCCCCCACGGCTCTCTCATCAACCCATCTTGGTTTCTATGCATTTCGAGGCAAGCTGCATCAACATGCCACCCTGCATACTGCGGCATGCATGTTAGTCACTGGAGGTCAGTGCTTATTCAGTTTTATTCTTTGGATTGAAATGCACATACAGTGTCATGTACAAAGCTGCGTCCTCTTGAGTTTTGGCAAATGGATTCACCCAGGCCTCTATGAAAACACAGACTATCACTGTAATCCCAGGTTTTCCATACTGCTTTCTGGCCTGGCCACGCCCTGCCCACCCCAGAGGCAGGCCTTGTTTTTTCCACCATGGTTTGGTTTTACCTGTTCGAGAATTTCACGGAAGTGGGCTTCACGCTGTGTGCTTCTTTGTGTCTGGCGTCCTTTGCTCAGTGTGCTTCTGAGACTCCTCCGTGGGGCATGTCAGCAGTGCCCTTCTCACTACCAGTGCTGTCCCTTGGATGACTCAACCATTTATTTAATCCTTCCTCTGTTGATGGACACCTGGGCTCTTATCAGTATTTGGCTGTTGTGAATAAGCCTGCTGAGAGCATTTGTGCCCCAGGCTTTGTGTAGACATGTGGTTTCCTTTTTCTTGGGCAAATGTGTAGGAGTGGAATTGCTGGGTCACAGGTCAGGTCTGTGTTCAAGTTTTTGAGAAACTATTAGGCCTTTTTCCAAAGTAACTGCTCCAGTTTATATTCCCTGACAATGTCTGGGAGTGCTGGGTGCTCCACACATTACTTCCCAGCCTTTGATATTATCAATCTTTTTAATTTTAAGTGAACATTGTTCTGGGCTGGGCTCAGTGGCTCATGTCTGTAGTTCCAGCACTTTGGAAGGTGGAGGCGAGAGGATTGCCTGAGCCCACGGGTTTGAGACCACTCTGGGCAACTTGGCAAGATCTCATCTCTACAGTAAATAAAAAGTTAGCCAGGCGTGGTGGCATGCGCCTGTGGTCCTAGCTACTTGGGAGGCTGAAGGTGGAAGGATCGCCTGAACCCAGCAGACTGAAGCTGCTGTGGCCATGAGCATTCCACTGCACTCCAGCCTGGGTGACAGGGTGAGACTCTGACTCAAAAAAAAAAAAAAAAAAAAGGCTGGGCTTGGTGGCTCAGCCTGTAATCCCAGCACTTTGGGAGGCTGAGGTGAGTGGATTGCCCGAGCCCACAGGTTCAAGACCAGCCTGGGCAACTTGGAGAGACCTTGTCTCTACAATAAATATAAAATTAGCTGGTCGTGGTAGCATGTACCTGTAGTCCTGGCTACTTGGAAAGCTGAGGTGGAAGGAACACTGGAGCCCAGCGGGTTGATAGTGGGGTGGTTGTGAGTGTGCCATTGTACTCCAGCCTGGGCAACATAGTGAGACTCCAACTAAAAAAAAAAAATATTCTGGTGGGGAGAAATCTCATTGTGGTTTTAATTTCCATGTCCTTGTTGACTAACGATGTTGAGAACTTTTTCATGTGTTTATATGGCCATTCATGTCTTCTTTTGTGAAATTTCAGTTTAGTCTTTTGCCCATTTTTTAACTGAGTTGTTGGCTAACATAACATACAGAAAAATACACAATTTTTCTTAGCTTTTGCCTGTGCAAATATTCAGAAGTCATGTGTTTGTAACTCTGGGGACGCCTACACATTCCATAAAAGCATTTAAAAATCCAACCTCTTTTCCTCTAGAGTAGAAAATAACCAAATGTAATTTCATTTGACATACTTTGTTTCAGGATTAAAAAAAGAATCTTAGACCTACATGTTATCTTCTTAAGTAGAGACACAGGAAAATAGAGAGAAAACAGGACTGGTCTAGGAGACAGATGACCCAGGTTCCTAGGGCTCAGTGTCCTTACTCAGGAACTGTGGAAAAGAAGCCTTGCCTATCACAGGGCTGTGATGATCAAATGACATAACATGTGTGACAGTTCTTTGCAAAGCTTTGCAGGAAAATAGAAATTACTAAGCTCTAGAAGACAGGCATGCTCTTAAATTCATGAGATGTTAATGAAGAGTTGAAGTGTTAGGAGAGGGAGTCACACCAGGCAGACAAAAGTGAACTGCTCGTCCTCAGTGTGCCTGTGGATAGAAGTGGTTCAAGGTGAGTTTGGATGTGCTGGTCAGTGCGTGCTGGGGGACTAGGGTAGTGAGCCTTTGGTCTTGCTGACGTGGTGCCCACACTCCCCAGCAACCTTTTCTTCTTCTGATTTTAGATACAAGCGGAAGGGAGACTCGTGCCTCGGCATAAACCCCAAGAAGCAATGCATATCCTGGGAAGGGGCTTCCATGGAGAAGAGGCGTTCCCAAAAGCAGGTGGAACGCTACTTCGCGAGAAAGAGCGTGGGGCTCCTGAACACCAATGGAGTGGCTGTCGTCTGTAAGCCCGAGCCTCCCTTGGCGGGACCAGCCTCCTTCATACCAGTGAAGGACTCAGAGGAGGGGCCTTCTCCTGTCACGGCCTGGCTGAATCCTCTGGGTATCTATGACCAGTCAACCACGCAGTGGTTACAAGGACAGGGTCCTCCGGAGCAGGAAGCAAAGCAGCCCCACTCACAGACCGATGGTGAGCATGCAGCTCTCAAGGCCAAGGTGGAGGAGTTTAACAGGCGGATCCGGGAGAACCCTCGGGATACGCAGCTGTGGATGGCGTTTGTTGCTTTCCAGGTAGGTGTTGCCACCTGGCTCTTACCTTCGGATGACTCTCTGGTTTGGGTTCACTGACTTCCTCTGCGGCAGTCTTTAGTTCCTGTGAGGAACCCTGGTATTAGGCATAGGATCCTTGCCCTGGGCATGCTCAGAGTCCAGTCCAGAGGAAGACTGCCGTCTGAAGAACAGTGCAGCGTGGGCTGGTCAATGCTGTTGTGTGTCTTTTGGGAGTGGAGGGAGGGAGGAAGGAAGGGCTGCCAAGAGAAGTGAAAGTGGGACAGAATCTCGGGGGAAGAGGGGCCACCATCAGGCCGGAGAGGCATTCCTGAGCGCAGGCGAAACAGGAGGACATGCAGGGTCGGAGAGAAAGAACTGCACGGTGTACTGCCCTTTAGAGCCAGGTATGCCCTTTCTAAACAGGCGACTGTCTCAGTCCCTCCCTTTGAGCCACTTATATAGTTGCATTATTGTGTCCGATGTGGGGCCATTTCATTGCAAGGTTGGCTCTTTGGAAAAGGTATTCAAGGCATTGTATGCTAGTTATTGATTCATAAATCTAAGTGTAAAATGACAGAGTGGACAGTCAGGTGACATAATCACAGGATCCAACAAACAGATATAGGAACCAGTTTCATTGGGAGAAGTTGTACCAAGCAGGTGGCTTCAGGAAGCCCGAGTGGCGTTCCTTTGGGGACTGGAAGGCCGTCTGCACAGCCTGGTTGACCTGAGGATCTTCGAGTTCACCTACCTTTGTCACTTGGTATTTTTGTCATTGAGGATGAGGTCATAAAGAGCCCTGGCCTGTATGCCATCGAGGAAGGAGAGCAGGAGAAGCGAAGGTGGTCCTTGAAGCTGATCCTGGAGAAGAAGCTGGCCATCCTGGAGCGGGCCATCGAGAGCAACCAGGGCTGTGTGGAGCTGAAGCTGGCCCGCCTGCAGCTCTGTGCGGAGTTCTGGGAGCCGCCTGCCCTGCTCAAGGAGTGGCAGAAGCTTGTCTTCCTGCATCCTAACAACACAGCCCTCTGGCAGAAATACCTTCTGTTTTGCCAGAGCCAGTTTAGTACCTTTTCGGTATCGAAAATCCACAGTCTTTACGGAAAGTGTCTGAGCACCTTGTCTGCTGTCAATGACGGCAGCATCCTGTCCCACCCTGTGTTGCCGGGCACGGAGGAGGCTGTATTTGGTAAGGAGATCCCGTTGTGGGGGTGGGGGATGGGGAAGTGAGGCTTGCTTGTGGCTTTACTTGAAAATGAAGATTTAATTTTGGTTTATTCTAGAAAGGATCAAAATTGTCTGATAGAAATAATTTTAAAAAAGTGTTAGCTGGGCTCAGTGGCTCAGCCTGTAATCCCATGCTTTGGGCGGCTGAAGTGAGTGAATTGCCTGAGCCCGCGGGTTCGAGACCTGCCTGGGCAACTTGGCGAGACCTCATCGCTACAATAAATCAAAAAATTAGCCAGGTGTGGTAGCATGCGCCTGTAGTTCCAGCTACTTGGAAGTCTGTGGTGGAAGGATCGCCGGAGCAGCAGGTCGAGGCTGCGGTGGCCGGGAGCGGCCACTGCACTCCAGTCTGGGTGACAGAGTGAGACTCCAACTCAAAAAAAAAAAAAAGAGTATTATGAAAAAAAAAGTATTATGACTCCTCTTGGTGATAATAGATTATTCCCGCCGGCCACAGGAGCCAGTGGGGCCTTAGAGCCCTTGTAAAGTTAGGAGGATATCCCTGGACAAGAAGTTCCAGCTTCTTTCTGCTTGCTTACCAGGTACCCACAGGCAAGTCTTTTAACTGCTTTGGTGGTTGATGGCCATATCTGTTGAGATGCCTGAACTGTGTCACCCAGTTGCAGGGCTCAGGCAGTGATGTACGTGAGATTCCCCTACTGGCTGGGAGCCACTGCATGGATAGGACGTATGGGTATTATGCTCTAGCATCCTTTGTGTAGCCCACAGGAGCCTAGAGTATAAATGTTGGCAGTAATGAGACACCAGAAGGCCAGTTCTATACAGGAGCCAGGCATGTCGCCCTTGAGCTTGAATCCGGGGTTTACCCTTCAATCTCTCATGTGACCTTGGGTGTTTTCCTTAACCTGAGTTTGATCTTTCTCCATTGGCAACCGAGGTATAAACCTGCTTTACAGGACTTTTGTGCACATAAATGAGATCGTGTACAGTGAATCTAGCTCCGTGTCTTGTGTATAGCAGGCATTTGATGGAAACCCTCCTATTGAGATGCTATTCGCATCTAAAGATGCAAATGTATTGCTCCGGAGATAATAAGCATTTATCTCACTGACATAACGAGTCTCGAATTTATTTCCATTCCTGATGTACTCAAGTGGCTTAGCGTTGTTGGCAGGTGGAATTGTATCCCAGTAAGATGAACGGGAGCGTTCCAACATGGAGCCCTGGTCTGTTTACAGCCGACGCTAAGCCCAGGAGGAACCTGCTGGTGACTAGCGCCACCTAATGGCCAGTCAGCTGCAGCACTTTGCTTTCTGATAAAAATCGGCTATGCTGTCGTTTTCTTACACTTTTTCTTGTAATAATCAGCTTTGAGCATTTGGTGGTCAACATTCAGACCAGCCTTTTGACTTATTTTTATGTACTATATGTAGTCTTGTCAGTATTTATATTCTTTGTTGGTTTAATATACAAATTAGGAAAAACCCACTTGACTTACAGTCCTGCTATAAGTCTTGTTGGACAAGGACTTGCATTCCAGCTTTGCATGTAACAGTCACTCAGGTAGAAGGCATTCTTGGTGCCGACTTGCCTGTTGGAGAAGCTGTGCTCTCTCCCTGAATGCACTAACCAGATTCTCCCCTTGCTCTCCACCTGCAGCCCTCTTCCTACAGCAGTGCCACTTCCTGCGGCAGGCTGGCCACTCTGAGAAGGCCGTCTCTTTGTTCCAGGCCATGGTCGACTTTACTTTCTTCAAACCCGACAGCGTGAGAGGTCTGCCTACCAAAGCCCAGGTACCGAGCTCTGCTCGCACAATCTCACTGTCCCTGACTCACTCTGGGAGAGGGAGGGTGGCAAGTGGCAGGTGGTAGCAGCATTTAAAGTTCACGTCCTTCTTTGCATTGTCCTGCTGAGGACAGTGTCTCAGAAGTAGTCCAGTGACCTGAGGACTTTCCATAACAAAAGTGGCCAAATATGGAGCGATGAAAGATTTCCCCACCCCAACACAGGGAATCACCCATGACCCGTCTCCTTTCTACTTAGGACCCTTTTTTTTTTTTGAGTTGGAGTCTCACTCTGTCGCCCAGACTGGAGTGCAGTGGCCGCTCCCGGCCACCGCAGCCTCGACCTTGCTGGGCTCTGGCGATCCTTCCGCCTCGGCCTTCCATGTAGCCGGAATTACAGGCATGCGCTACCACGCCCGGCTGATTTTTTGATTTATTGTAGAGATGAGGTCTCGCTGCCCAGGCGGGTCTCGAACCTGCGGGCTCAGGCAATCCACTCACCTCAGCCTCCCATAGCTCTGGGATTATAGGCTGAGCCACCAAGCCCTGCTTATGTTTTTTAAAATTTATCATAGAGATGAGGTTTTGCCATGTTGCTTGGACTGTTTGAGAATTCTTGGGCTCAGGCTGTCCTCTCACCTTGGCCTCCCAAGGTGCTGGGATTACAGGTGTGAGTCGCCATGCCAGGTACTTGTTATTTTTAAAACAAGCTGTGTTACAGAAGCAAGTCTTAGCTGACTTCAAGGAGCCTTAGGGGTCAGGATCAGCATCTCTCCTGTTCCCATTCCTTGACTGAGGGCAGTAACTGCTGGTGGAGGTCCCTGCCCATGGGCGCAACACATCAAAGACCACTGCTCTGGAAGGTCAAGAGGCTCCAGGCAAATTCTTGGGGTTTTAAATACTAACAGCTCATGTGCTTGCGTGACAACTTTGAAATGCAGGGAAAAGGGAACACTTCTACACTGTTGGTGGGAGTGTAAGCTAGTACAACCTCTGTGGAAAACAGTTGGCAATTCCTAAAAGATCCAAAAATTGACCTTCCATGACTCAGCAATCCCCCTTTTGGAAATATACCCAAAGGAACTCAAATCACTCTGTGAAAAAGATACTTGCACACACATGTTTATTGCAGCATTATTCACAATAGCAAAAACATGGAACCAGCTGAGCAGCTCATCAAAAGTGAACTGGATTTTTAAAATGTGGTACATATGCATGATGAAATATTATGCAGCCATAAAGAAGGACAAAATTATGAACTTTGCGGCAACTTGGATGGATTTAGAGTCTACAATACTCAGTGATCTATCACAGAAACAAAGAACTGAATACCATATGTTCTTACTCATGAGCGGACCCTGAACAGTTATCATAATAAGAAAGGGATTGGCAGTAGTGGGAAACTGCAGGGTTGGGAGGTAGCACATTTCATCAGTAAGGGTACCAGATCTCAAACCAGGTGAAATGGGGACCTAAGTGAGGCCCAAACTTTACCTGTACAATGACCATATGTATACCTGACCGTGAATTGTGCCCCACATCTATAAAATTAAAAAAAACAAAACACTCTACACTTAGACTACACTAAACTTACAAAAACTTTTTCTTCAATAAGTAATTTTAACTTATTATAACTTTATAAGCTTATAATTTTTTTACGTTTTTGGTTTTTTGTAATGACACAACTTAAAACACACATTGTAGACGCAAAAAAAAAAAAGTCTTCTTCCTTAACAGTATTCCATATTGCTTTTGCAACTGAGAGACACTGTTACCATAAATATAGTAGCGTAACATAATGCAGGCAGAATCTGATTCTACTGCTCTGTTTCTGTGGAATAAACATAGTGGTTACAGCCATTTATTACACTATTTTTAAAGATACCCTTCTTTTTCTTGAGTACACCATCTTTCAGCACTCTTACAAGAGCCAAATCTGTCAAAAGGGAGTGTAGTCTTCTAGTTCCCCTTCCTGAGAGTGACCTGTATGCACTCAGAGAACAGGGCTCATGTCAGGACATCTGCTCTGTCCTGCTCTGCCTCCCCTGAAGACTGAATGCTTCCAGGCATGCATGGTGCACAGGGGCTAGGCCAGATGAACCTGCACCTCCCGGCCCACGGTATGCCCACTGGAAACCAGCCTGTCCTCTCCAAAGACTTCTTACAAAAGCTCTCATTGACCAGGTCACTGGCACACTGTTGAAGTCTTGTCACCTGATTGCAGGGTCACGTTTCTGTTCACTGCTGTGTTCATGTTCTGTTGCACAGGGAAGGACTTACTGGTTACTACTTGGCAGACCCAGTGCCCAAAGGAGGCAGGGGTTATGGGGCCTAGCTTTAAAACACAGACTGCCTTGTCCCCAGAGTGCCTACCTTGTTCAGACCTGTGCCAGCAAGCATTGTTTGAGTCTCTACTGTGCATTAAGTATCATGCCAGGTGTTAGGAGTACATAGCTACTTCAGATATGGTTGTGTCCATAAGGGCTTTCAGCTTTGCTTGGTCACCTGCATCCTGTGACTCATCACTGGGAATATGCATGTTCTTCAGAGACCAGCCTTGGCCAGAGGCTCCCTGTTGGGGAAGGGGAGGGTGACAGAAAGAAGCCAGATGTAGGGGGAAAGAGTCAAAGTCCAGACAGTTACTTCACAGGGGCTCAGTGGCATTAGGGGAACTGGCAGTGCTGCCATCCCTGGCTGGAAGAGCCTGGCAGGATCAGGCTCCTGCCCTGCTGCTGGAGGCTCTTGCTGCAGTGGGGCTCTGCACCTCGGCTCATCTTTTGGTAACCTCATCCCGAAAGTGGCGTCCCATCACTCTTGTTAGAACCCACCAGCTGCAGCCATACCCAAATGTGACTCCCACGAGACTACGGTGGGATTGGGGCTGTCTCAGAGGCTGCCTGCCACACTAGACAATGCTTCTTTCCATTTTGGAGGGTGCATCACGTACCTGCTTCCAATAATGATGGCAGGCGTGAGCTCAAGTCACGAGCTCCTCTTTGCCCACCAGCACGTACTTTGCCCACTGACAGTAGTTTTTTGCAAGTCAGGTCTGACGTCATCTTTACATCTGAACAGGTGGAGTTCTTCGAGCCTTTTTGGGACAGTGGAGAGCCCCGGGCTGGGGAGAAGGGAGCCCGGGGCTGGAGAGCATGGATGCACCAGCAGGAACGAGGCGGCTGGGTGGTAGTGACCCCAGGTAAGGCTCCCTCAGTGAGGACGTGTGTGCCTGTGTCTTTGGGAATTTGTGTTCACATCTTCGTGATTATTTGTTTATCTGTATAAGGTGTTTATCAGTACAAACTTCAAAATGTTAAAAAACTACATTCAGTAGATGTCGTGGGAGATCAGATGCTTCCTCTGACTTCAAAGCTCCGACCTCTCCTGCAGCACAGAACTGAGGGCTCCAAGGCTCTGGGTTCCCCTCCTCCTTTCACAGGTTGTGCCTCGAGCAGGAATCTTACTGCTGGCTTCCCAGCTCCAGTTTCTTACATTGTGTGTTTCAGACAGTTTTTTTGGTCCTCTTAGCCACATACAGGCCAGTGAATACTTTAAAAAATACTTTCCTTTTTAGGACTATTACAGAGTAGTTATTGGCTGGCATTTGTGTATCTGTCATTTTCTAAATGACCAATGAACTTTTCTGATTCACACTCTCGACCGGAGCTGCCCAGTGGAATACAGGTACGGCTCCTGTGTCTTTCAGGCTTCCTAGCAGCTGCATGAACAAGTCAAAGAAGTAGAGGGCATCAGTTTTGACAGTGTATTTTATGTAACTTACTATATCAAGACATAATCATTAGGCATGTAGTCAGCATGTAAAAATTATTGGCTGGATTCAGATGCCAACTTTGTGTAAAAAAAAAGGAAAAATTAACTAGATCTGTTGCCTTCTTCTTAAATCTGGTGTATATTTTACACTCGTAGCACATCTCAGTTCAGACCCACTGCTTTTCATGTGCTCATAAACCATGTGTCAATAGTTCCGTATAGAACAACTTAGTTCTTTTTCTTTTTTAATTATTATTATTTTTATTATAAAGATATGGGGTGCAATTCAGGGTTAGGTATACAAACGGTTGGGCCTGCTTCCCTCCCGAGAAACAGTTCCAGTGTCAGGGAGACCTGCCAGGCAGGCCGTTGCATTGTAGTCCTGGGGTGGAGCTGTCAGCGAGCACTTGGGAGACTGGCTCCTCACCATGGCCCGGCCAGCCTCTTCTCACAGTGTGGCCTTCCTGGACACCTTGGCTTCTTCTTTTGCAGAATTAACACTTTGCCTTAGGGACTGTCTGCGTGGCAGTCCAGACCATGGGCAGGTAGCATCTCTGCTTCCTGAGGAAGAGAGTTTCTCCAGGTGTCTGGGCTCATGCCTCTGGGTTATGGTCATGCCTTGTGTAGGACTGAGGAGGCTCAGCTGTTCAGAGTTCCCTTGAGTGTTTTTCCAATAAGAATGGAAAGTGTTCTTCAGGCTAACAGTGGTTAACTGTGGAGAACAACAGCCCAAATGGAACGGAAGCAGGGATTGCACTCTTAGCCACTAAGTCTGCAAGATGAACTCTTCTCTGAGTGAGTACTCTGCGTGGGCCTGTATCTCAGGCCTGTCTTTGTTTCTTTAAGGAGCAAGACCACTATAGTGCCTGGTCGCTGATACACAGTGTACTGCATTATGATTTCTGGGTTGATAGAGTCAGGTTTTCATAGCAGTGTCCAGAGAGTAAATTACCTTTATTTCCCTGACCAGAGTCCAGATGTCTAATGGTCACCTGAAATTGGATATAAAGTTAGTTTCTCCAAAAGAGAATGTGTCGAAACCTTGATTTTAGTCTAAAGTTAGAGACTTGTGTTGATACTCATATTCCCTGCAGCTTTCCAGACATACTCATGGCAGAGAATCTTCTGAACTGAATGTAATGGATTTTTTTTCTAAAGAATTTAATGGAAGTTCCCCAAAATACCAGCAGGTTCAAAACAAAATTTTCTTGTTGCTAACAGTTTTGGCTTTCATCCTGACAAGTTAGACCTTGGGATCCATCGTGTGTTCTGAGGCATTGCTTCTCCACATGCCATTGCTTGTCTCTCTCACCCTCACTTCCTGTTAGCATGTAATTGTCATAGATGTCTGTCCAAAACAAGATCATCTGTTATATTCTTTTTTTTTTTTTTTTTTGAGTTGGAGTCTCACTCTGTCGCACAGACTGGAGTGCAGTGGCCGCTCCCGGCCACCGCAGCCTCACCTGCTGGGCTCTGGTGATCCTTCCACCTCAGCCTTCCGAGTAGCCAGAATTACAGGCGCACGCTACCACAATTTTTTAATTTATTGTAGAGATGAGGTCTCGCTGCCCAGGCGGGTCTCGAACCCGCGGGCTCAGACAATCCACTCACCTCAGCCTCCCAAAGGCGTGGGATTACAGGCTGAGCCACCGAGCCCAGTGTTATATTCTTATGTGGCGAATTCAGATATCTGTTTGATGTATGACTCACAAGGCAATTTCTCTCATGATGAGAGTTTTTCAAAGTCATTCCCTTAAGTGTAGATCTTTAGAAGAAGGGGATGAATAGTTACATTTTAGTTTTCCTCTTAGAGAAACTCAGAAGAGCGTTTAGGTAGAATACTGGGTTTAAAGTGCTAATATGTATGGTATGTGCTTAAATTATTTAGGGATTTCTTATTTAATTTTTGTTCTGAAATACTTATAGAGTCACAAAAAGTTGAAGAAACGTTCAGAGAGGTTTTGTGCACCCTTCCGGTGGTAGTACCACAGAACAGGGTCACAACCCAGGAGCTGACACTGTGCCATCTGCAGAGTTCATTCCGATTTTGCCAGTTCTGCATGTGCTTCGTGTGTGTATGTATTGTAATAGGAAGCTTTTATCATGTGTGTGGCTTTGTGTAGTCACCAGCACAAGGCACCTGTTTTTTAGCCACTGCACCTTCCCCTTTTCCTACCTCCTGGGAACCTAGAATCTGTCTTTCATCTCTATTGTTGTGTTATGTTACAAACACGATATAAAGTGGAATCATATAGTCTGTAACTTTTTGAATCAAAATTGCTTTAGTTATAAAACATATGTAACACACACTGTGCCATCTTAAGTGTGCAACTGAGTGACATTAAGGACATTTACACTGCTGTGCAGCCATTGCCTCTGGCCCTCTCCAGAACCTCTTCATCTTTCCCACCTGAAGCTGTGCCCATTAGACAATGACTCCCCATTCCTCCCACCCCGCCCCTGGCAGTCATCATTCTGCTTTCTGTCTCTATGAATTTGACTACTTTAGGAACCTCATATAAATGGAATCATACAGTATTTGTCCTTTTGTGACTGACTCATTCATAGCATAGTGATTGTTAGGGTTCATCCATGCTGTAGCGTGTATCAGAATTTCCTTCCCTTCTTTTCTTTTCTTCTTCTTCTCCTCCTTCCTTCCTTCCTCCTCCCTCCTCCCTCTTCCTTCCTCCCCACTCCCCCTACATTCTTCCCCTTCTTCCTCCCCCTCCTCTTTTTAAAGAAACAGGGTCTTACTCTGTCACTAGGCTGGAGTACATGGCATGATCCTAGCTCACTGTGACCTCCAACTACTGGATTCAGGTGATCCTACCTCCTCAACCTCCCAAGTAGCTGGGACTACTGGTGTGTGCTAATTTATTTGTTTTGGTGGAGACCCTGTCTTGAGATGTTACCCAAGCTGGTCTCAAACTCCTAACTTTAAGTGATCTTCCCACCTTGGCCTCTCAAAGCACTGGGATACAGGCATGGGCCACGATGCCCGGCTTCCTTCCTTTTAAGGCTGAATACTGTTCCACTGTGTGTATATACCACATTTTGTGTGTCCATCCATCCATCGATAGTCACAGGTTGTTCCCACCTCTTGGAAGTTGTGAGTGATGCTGTTGGGAACCGGTGTCTGCCTGAGTCCCTGCTTTCAGTTCTGTTCAGAAGTGGCATTGCTCCTCACAGGGGACCTTGTTTTGTTTGAGGACCCGCCATGCTGTGTCTGTAGCAGCTGTACCCCATTACATTCCCACCAGCCATGACCAGGGGTTCAGTTTCTCTACTTCCTTGACGACACTCGTTTTCATGTAATTTCCTGAGACTGGCCTTTTTCCACCTTGCATAATTCCCCTGAGATAGCATTCAAGCTATGTGTGTCAGTGGTTTGTTCATGTTTGCTGCTGAGCAGCATTCTACCATGTAGACACAACGCAGCTGATCCAGTGGTTCACCTGGACAGGATGCTCAGGTTGTCTCCTGTTCCTGGCTGTTATGTGTGAGGCTGCTGCTGGCTGTTAGTGTATGGGTTTCCTTGTGAACATTGGTTTTCATTTTTCTGGGGTCAGTGCCCAAGAGTGCAGTTATGGTAAGGGCATGCTTAGTTTTCTCAGAAACTGTCAAATGGTTTTCCTGCTGTGCCATTTTATATACACTGTTTGTTTATTTTTATTTTATTTTTTGAGTCAGGGTCTCACTCTGTCGCCCAGGCTGGAGGGCAGTGGTACGCTCACAGCCACTGCAGCCTCAATGTGCTGGGCTCAGGTGATCCTTCCACCTTAGCCTTCCAAGTAGCTGGAACCACAGGTGCACACCACCATGCCTGGCTAATTTTTTAAATTTATTATAGAGACAAGGTCTTGCTAAGTTGCCCAGGCTGGCCTCGAACCCATGGGCTCAGGCAATCCTCTTGGCTCTGCCTCCCAAAGTTCTGGGATTACAGGTGTGAGCCACCGTGCCCAGCCTGTTTGTTCATTTTTTAACACTGAACTTACAGATGACTCAGGCTTTGCTTCTCTTCCATTCTGCATGTTCAGAGTTAGGAACGGAAGTGAAGTGAGTCGTTGGATATCCTGAACTGAATGTTTTTAAAAACAAAGTTCTGATGAGCATAGGTTATTATTTATTCTAAGGCTCCTGGCTAAAAATTCTGATGGCTTAAGAAAATCAAAGCAATGTGTCATAAATGGCATTCAGCATTAGGCTAAAACTGTGCTGTCCAGCTATCAGTAGGCTGTAGCTACATGTGACTATTTAAAGTTAATGAAAATTCAGTCAAGCTAAGGATTCAGTTCCTCTTCCAGCTGCATTACAAGTACCCTAGGAGTTACATGTGCCCACTGTATCAGTGCAGGTACCAGGCACTTTCACCATTACAGAGTAGTGTGGGACGGGCCCTTCTAAAACTCGTGTCCTTTCCCCTTTTATTGCTGTAACAGCATTAAACATCCTTGGTGTCATCGTCCTGTCCCCATTTTTCCTGAGACCTGAACTGTTCCAGGCTCCCTGGGAGTCTCCTTTTCTTCCTGCATTCCAGGTGCTTCAGGATTGGGCACTGCAGCTGTGGGAGTGGTAATGGTAGTTTTGTCTGCTGCCAAGGTGAGCCAGAACTTTCTCTTCCTGTCCAGATGAGGATGATGACGAGCCAGAAGAGGATGACCAGGAGCTAAGAGACAAGACTCTGCCCCGGTGGCAGATCTGGCTGGCTGCTGAGTGTGCCCGAGACCAGAGGCACTGGCGGCCCTGGCGCCCGGACAAGACCAAGAAGCAAACTGAGGATGACTGTGAGGACCCTGAGAGACAGGCATGTGTCCCCACCCTGGGTCATCAACCAGGGCCTGGGCTTTCCAGTCCTGTGTGCTTTGCTCACCTGTAAGAGCTTGTGGGCTCTTGTGGCACTTGGCTCCCATCTGTTTGTGGAAACTTCCCTCTCCAAGTACCAGGGTAGAATTTCCTTGGCTGCTGGTGGCAGGGTAGAATGTAGGCACATGGCCAGGTGGCTCCTGTCGCCTGGTCGGCAGGTGGGCTCTGGTGGTCACTCCCCTGGGGATTTTTGTCTTCCAGGTTATTCTGTTAATTTTTCACATGACCTCTGTAGGCTTGAGTTCAGAAGACTCGGAACCACTGAGAGTCTTGAGTTGTATCCATTCTGCCCACCCCATTCTGGGGTCCATGAAGATGCAGCAGATGGTTGGATTCCAGAAGACAAGGGGGACTGGTTGTGGAGGTCATGTTGGAACAGTCAGCATTCAGCCAGTCTTGGTGAAGAGGGAGCTGGTATTGATTGAATACCTGTGCGGTGTCAAGCCCGTCACCTGCTCCCTGCTTACTGTCCTGGGTGGTTTGGTCCATGCTTCTCTATGGTTAGTGGCCAGCAGTTGGAGGTTTTAATTAAGATGAAGGAAGAAATGCTACTTGATCCCTGGAATTGACCACCTCTGTGGCCTGGAGCTCCATGACCCGCCCTGTGGGTGATGTGCCCTAATGCAGGGAGTTGCCTCTTTTTCTCATTGCTGTTACCAGTGCCTGGGACAGCACTTGTCCTGGGCTGAGCACTCAGTTAATACTCTCAACTGTTGGAGGAATATTTGGCTAATGCTGGAGCATCTGCTCTGGGCAGAGGGATCAGCATGTGTGAAGGCCTGGGTGCCAGAAATGTTTGAGGAGTGGCAAAGGGGATGGCCAGACTAGAATTAGGACAGAGGAGAATGGGACTGGAGTCCAAGACAGGTGGTGGGAGGAGGGAGATCTGACATCAGACTTCAGCCCACCGGAGGCATAGGGAGACCTCTGCATGCAGGCCCCTTGCCTCACTGACAGAGTGCTTCCAGAACTACCAACTCCGTCTTTGGTGTTTGCAGATTTCATAGAGTTCACAGCTGCCTTCTGGAAGCCAGTGCAAGGCTTAGAATTACAGCAGTCTCATAGAAGCAGATTCTTGGAGCAGCTGCTGCTGCGAGCAGTTTCTTGCCATTTCACTTTTTCTCAGGGAGAAAGGCTTTGGGTTTTTTTTTTTTTAAACAAAAAGCAGCTTTCTGATTAATGGATGGTTTGATTGGTTGAGTCCCAGGTAGTCTAGTTTTATTGTGCTTGTGTTTTGACTTTTTCTTGGTGAGAGGCATGAGAACTGCCAGATAAGCAGTACCTTCGTCTCCTTGGCCTTGGCTTTGACATCCTCACCTGTGTCAGCTTGCATGTCCACACTTCATGTTGGGCTCTCGTATTGCTGTGAACATGCCCACTGCTCCTGTCAGTTCCTCCTTGTCTTGCTCCTGTTTATCTACTTTTGAATATGTTTTTCATTTCTTTGTACAAAGAAACCACGAATCGTAAAGTTCTTATCATCCATTGTAAAATGCAAAACTTTTCACAGTTGTAATTTATCAAAGTAACTCCAGAAGCGATGATGTGTGCTCTCAGAAGCAGACATCTTTCTAAATTTTCTGCAGGTCCATTAGGACACTTTGAAAGCTTCTGTCCTAAGCCTGGCCATGTCTCCCCTGAGGTGTGGAAGTGTGACTGGTGCTCCGGGGCTGCTGACAGTTGTTCACAGCTGTCCAGGGTGCCTAGCAAGGCCTCTTGCTTTTTTGCTAAAAGGAAACTTAGCTCCTGTCTATTTAGAATTTATTTTAATTTGAGTAATGTTGAATCGTTAGTATGACCATATAAAAAGAATCGTGAAACCTGGTGAAGACTTTGTTCCACTTAATGGGCTGCTTGACTTGTCTTTCAGGTGTTGTTTGATGACATTGGACAGTCTCTGATCAGACTTTCCAGCCAGGATCTTCAGTTCCAGCTGGTCGAGGCCTTCCTGCAGTTCCTGGGCGTGCCTGCTGGCTTTGTCCCTCCGGATTCATGCCTTTATCTGGCCATGGATGAGAGCAGCATCTTTGATCCCGGACTTTCTGATGAAAAACCCCTGACCCTCTCTAGCCCCTCGTTTTCTGGGGTGAGCTTTGTTGGCCGCATGGACCGGTTGGGCTGTCCTCTCTGGACTAGGGGCCACAACCGTGAGGGTGAGGAGTTTGTCCGCAATGTCTTCCACCTCGTCACACCTCTGTTTTCCGGCAGGGAACGATCTCGGCTCTGCGTGACCTGGCTACGGTACGAGATTGCAAAGGTAACCCCAGCTTCCTCCCCCTATTTGTGACGCCTTCCTGTTTCATGTCGGTGTGGACAGTGGGATTTCCAGGCTCCGTGTGCTCCTCCAGGGACTGTGCCACAGCACCCCTCCTGCAGAACCCCGAGGCCCCTTGTACGTGTGCCCTCTGTGGCTGCAGCAAGGAGGAGGGCCGGAGTCCAGCCGCCCCAGTGACCCCAGGCTGTTTATTGTGCCTTCTTGTGTCCCCAGGTGCTTGTTGCTGTATGAGCAGTCAGTGTAACATCAGTTACAAGCTTAAGCAGGGTTAGAGGACTTAGGGACTTATTAAGATGGATCAGATGAGCTCCTTACGTGTCCCACTCTTTATATCTGTCTGCTGAAAGCTTGATCAGTGGTTCTGCCTTTTGCTGACCGCTTGTTAATACTGACTCTTAACCCCCAAGTTCTGAAGCTTTAACTACAGGTGGCACGAACCAGGCTGTGTTACAATAGTGGGGTGTAATTCTGTGGCCACACCTCCTCAGGGAAGGACCTACAGAGTACGTCAGCCTCATTTACAGAGATGCCAGTGGGAGCCCTCGGTGTGTGAATCCGGGGGCATTCATTTCCCTTCCAGCTCAGGGAACCTCAGTGTTCACCAGACATATTTTGCTGAAGGAAGGAGGTGTAGATACTGTGGTTGTCAGTGCTCTCTGAAGTTGGCAGTCCAGAGGGATGGTTCCAAGCCGCAGGGCACTTGGAGTCAGGCCTTTCTCTTTTTGCCTGTAGGTCGTCTGGTGTCTGCACACTAAAAACAAGAAGAGATTAAAATCACAAGGGAAGAACTGCAAAAAGCTAGCCAAGAATCTCCTCAAGGAGCCAGGAAACCGCAGTGCCTTCCACCTCTGGCAGGAGTACGCCCACCTGGAGTGGCTGCTGGGCAACACAGAGGACGCTCGAAAGGTTTTCGACACGGCACTCAGCATGGCCGGCAGCAAAGAGCCAAGGGACCCGGAGCTCTGGGAGCTGGGTCTACTCTACGCCGAACTTGAGGTGGAGCTGTTACCGGCTGGGAGAGGGCCCACCATGGCCCGGGCTGTGCATGTGCTAACCTGGCTGGCCGAGAGTGGTCCCTGCGGGCCCTACAGCGGGCAGGTCTCAGCTGTTCACATACTGAAAGCTCGCAAGGCTTACGAGCATGCCCTGCGGGACTTCCTGGGGGAGCATGGTGGCTCTGACCCGGCGCCCACTGACTCCTCTCACCACCTAGTCACCTTGATCAAGTGCTTCATGCTCTTCCAGTATTTGACCATAGGCATTGACGCTGTGGTAAGGGTCTACGAGCAGGTGTTTGTGAAATTGAGCAGCTCTGCTTTGGCAGAAGGCTCTGGCCAGGAGAATGGTGCCAGCTCCCAAAGTCTGGCCGGCGTCCTCGAAGCTGTCGTCCTGATGCACACGAGTCTGCTGAGATTCCACATGAAGATCAGCACCTACCCTCTGAGCCCCCTACGGGAGGCACTCTCAGAGGCGCTGAAGCTGTATCCAGGCAATCAGGCCCTCTGGAGGGCCTTTGTGCAGGTTCAGAGTAAGTCCCACAGTGCCAGCAGGATTAGAAGGTTTTTTGACACCATCACCAGGTCTGCCAAACCCTTGGAGCCTTGGCTGTTTGCAGTTGAAGCTGAGAAAATGAGGAAAAGACTGATAGAAAGTGTTCAGAGGTAATTACAGACACCTTAAGGAATACTTGTTTCCCCCACTTGCTGGGTTTCAGGAATGCAGAGGTGAGCATGACCTGGTGCCTGGAACACCTGCGGCAGGTGCACTAGGCTGTGGAATAACACCAAGAGGGGAACAAGACACAAGGTAGCAGCATCATTGCATAGACACTTCGGTGGCTGCCTTCCTGGGTCATGCTCCCGGAGGTGAACATTGCTTCTGGGGTGTGTGAGGGATGACTGCCATCTTGAATGCATCATGGCTGAGAGCAGGGCCCTGGCAGGCAGCTCTCAGGGTGACTGCCATCGTGAACACGTGGCTGAGAGCAGGACCCTGGCGGGCAGCTTTCTGGAGTCCAGAGCCAATGCTCCCAGTGCTCAGCTGGGTGACCTTGGGACAGGCACTTCACCTCTCTGCTAACTCTCTCTTCTGTCAAATGGGAATGAAGAACCTACCTCATAGGGTCACTCTGTGGGGCTGGGGAGGAAAGTGCTTGGCACAGGTCAGAAGTTTCTGTCAGCTCTACCAGTGCCAGTGTCAAGTTCAAACAGCGTTGAGTTCAAACAGTGTCATCTTTGATACAGTCTTTTCTGTGTGAAGATTAGACGATGGTCTCAGGTACACATTGACTCAGGCACTGCTGTTCTTCCTGGAGTCTCTGCTGTTGCCTCACTCTGATCTTAGAGACAGGGCATAGCTGCCTTCGGACAGTATTTCACTTCCTTGTCCTTATTCCTTCTGCTGGGGTTTTATTCACAAAATTGAGCCTTGCTCTTTCTGCCTTAAAACTGGAAGGCATTCCGTTCCCTTAAAGTGAAAGTTGTATCCTGCCGATTAAAGGGCAGGCTTCTTTAGAAAACAGAGAAGGGTGAGGGGTTTGTGTGTGACTTCCTGGCAGACTCAGCATGGGGTGGGAGCCACAGCACCCAGACTCCGCCCTCTCCTGGCCTGGGAGAAGCTGCCTCCCACCTGTGCCCCATGCTGCCATGCTCACGCCTTCAGGTCAGCTCCCCTGGTGCTCTGCCCCTGCTGTTTCTGACATCTGTCAGCACTAGGAAGTAAGCTTCCCTCCTGTGATGGAGGTGGGAGGCTTTGTCTTGTTACATGAGCTTTGCCTTGCAGGGTGGATGGCCAAGAGGTCCACACCACGATCCCGGAAACCGGCCTGACACACCGGATCAGGGCCCTATTTGAGCATGCAGTGCAGACTGAGCACGGCAGCCAGTGCCCCCTGCTGTGGAGGATGTACTTGAACTTTCTGGTAAGAAAATATGTAGATTTCTGTTTTCCTGCCAAGCCCCACTGCTTCCTGCACAGGTGAGAAAGTGCAGGTATCCAGTGGCCAGAGTGCAGGACTGCCAGAGGCCCCGTGTCATGGTCACCCACTTGGCATTGGTCTGTTCTCATGAAACCTCAACAGGTGACTACGTCAGGTGTCTCAGGGCTTGTGAGGGGCTTGCGGGTTGCACATCTCAGCATGAGAAGTGGGTCCTGGGGTGTGGGTGCAGTGGGACTCATGGCTTCTTGGCATGGACTTCGTCATGTCTGCTTCATGGAAGATGGTCTAAAAACTTTTCTTGCAGGAGACCTGTATTCTCCACTGTTGGCTCTTAAGAGTGTCCAGGTCCTGATTCTGTTTTATTATTGAGCAATAAGATTCTGTCTAGACTGTGTTTTTTTTGTTTTGTTTTGTTTTTTGAGTTGGAGTCACACTCCATCACCCAGGTTGGAGTGCAGTGGCATGCTCACGGCCACCCCAGCATTGACCTGCTGGGCTCAGGCAATCCTTCCACCTCAGCCTTCCAAGTAGCCAGAACTACAGGCATGTGCTACCATGCCCAGCTAATTTTTTTTTTTTCTTGTCAAGTGAGGTCTCGCAAAGTTGCCCAGGCTGTTCTTGAACCCATGGGCTCAGGCAGTCCTCTCATCTCAGCTTCCCAAATTGCTGGGATTACAGGTTTGAGCCACCATGCCTGGCCTAGAATGTAGTTTTTAAGGTCAACCTCTCTAGAGAAGCTGTGTCCTCTGGAATGCCTGTGGTGACCGGATGTAGGGAGACATTGTCAGCTTTGTGAATGTGAATTGCGGACTGCGAGGTTTTGGCTCCTTGAAGTCTGTGCTAGCTTGGCTATGGGGTGGGCCTGGTGAGAGAAACCTCATTACCTGGTGCACCTGGGCCATGGTGCATACTGCTTTAGAAATAGTCTTCCAGGCTTCCTGTCATTTCCATTCAGGGCTGCTCAGTCATATCCAAGTGGCCTCCAGTGAATACTGTTCCTTTCAGAAGCCAGGAGTGGCCTTCCCAACTCATAGTTGTGTATGTCTCTGGTTACTTCCGTAGGATAAATTCTCAAAACTTGACATTTGAACATTTCCACTTGACATGTGACAAAGTTGGGCTGTAAAGAGATACAGAAGAGAGTAAGTTAGGGGTTAGGAGGGAGTTGGGCCTTCCCCACTTCTTGCTGCTGATTTCAGAATTCATCTGCCTCCCTAAGAGGCTGGGCAGGATATGTTGTCTCAAGACAGCCACTCACTAGCACACCCCAGAAACACGGGCACATTCTTGGGGACAGAAATCGGATTAAAAAATGAATTATAATATCAACAGGGTGTCTGAATGAAACGCAATTGTATACCTAACCCTTAACTGTACCCCACAACTTCACAATAAAAAAAAAAAAAGTTAGGAAAAAAAAAAAGAATTATAGCTGATTGCAGTGGCTTACACCTGTAATCCCAGTGCTTTGTGAGTCAGAAGTGGGAGGATCACTTGAGGCCAGGAGTTTGAGGCCATCCTGGGCAATCTAGTGAGACCCTATCTTTAAAAAAATAAAACCAACTAGCCAGGTATGGTGATGAACATCTGTAATCCCAGCACTTTGACTGGGAGGCTGATGCAAGAAATCACTTGAGCCCATGAGTTGGAGGCTGCAGTGAGCCATGATCTGGGCAACAGAGCAAGACCCTGTTTCTTAAAAAAAAAAAAAAAAAAAGAATTATAGAAGTTTGTGCATTTTTTTTGAACATTCATCTTTAGACCCAGATGTGCAGGGTTTGGCTCCCGTGTGTGAGATAGACAACAAGGAGTTCTCCTGAGGTCCTCTGCTGCTTGGCATTGGTGGCGTGCACATGGCCTGGTGAAGCCAGTCACTGTCTGTTAATCAGAGGTGGTCGTCTGGGCAGCAGCAGCAGCAGGAGAGCTGACTTGTCAAGCCTCCCGCCCCTCATTGGCCTGTTCCACTGAAGGGGCAGAGTGGGTGTTCCCTGGTGTTCCCTGCAGATAATCTATCCGTCTTTCTAAGCAGATGAGAGACTATGGCGCCGACAATGTAAGAGTGTGCAGATTTGCCAGGTGACTTCCCAGTCTTCTGTGGGTGTGGACAGGAGGGGCAGACTTGGTGTTTGTCCTGAGATCTTCCAGGAGCACATCGGGGTGGGCTGCAGACAACACATGCTCGTTGACTTGGAGAAAAGGTCCAGACCCTTAGGGAATCCCTCTCTTTGAGGAAAAGTTGTGTCGGAACTAGGGATGAACACACTCCTGAGGCATCTGGGTGGCTCCTGGCCCTTGGCCACACACAGTGATGGGCTGGACTTGGGTCAGGACACAGGAGGCAGGTGACAAGTGCCGGGCGGGGCAAGAGCGCATGGCTGCGTGGAGGAGGTGGACGCTTAGGCTGCTGTGCATGTGCCTCCTGTGGGCATGTGTTTGCTCATGTGCATGCATGCCTGTCTGCATGCTTGCTTTTTCTTTTCCTACAATAATACTGAAGGAATTAAAACTCATCATCAGCCCTGGAGAAGATGGGGGAAGGGACTGTACTGACAGCACTTAGTCTCCACTAGGGCTGGAAAGGCTCCATTTCAGAGATGACTTCGGTTGTGCTATTCTGCATGCACATGAACACTTCAGCCAGACTCTGTCTTGGCTAAAATTGCAGTTTTCAGGATTCTTAGAGGCCTTTAATTGGTCATCTACCCACACAATTAAGAAGAATATTTATGTGTATAAGCCAGTTAGCTGATTTCATGGGATGGATAAAAGAAGTCTTAACAAATAAGAAGGGACAGTGGCATTTCTGAAGTGCTAATCATTGACAGTGGGTGGCAGGAAGCTGAAAGTTCACGTTTGCAAGACTGGCGGGAGGGACAGGCATCCCCTGCAGTGCCCTGTCCATGGACGCGTGAGTCAGCCTCTCGGCCGTCTGTCTTCTCTCAGGAAGTGCAGAGCAAACCCTGTGGAAGTGTGTCTTTATTTGTAGGAGGCTTGTATCAGTCCCATTCCTTAAGAAGCTGTATCAACTGCAGTCGCTCAGATGGTTCATGATGAGATGAGGAAGGAGGGTCCAGTGTTACAGAAGCCTGAGGATCTCAACCCCGCTGTTTTCTTAGCAATGTTGCTGCCCCCACGTGGAGGCGGCACTTTGGAGGGTAAGGCTCACAGGTGCCAGACAACAAGTCGGAAACCCCAGGTGCCTAATACGGAGAGCTCGAGCACAGAGCATATCGTGATGAGACTTGTCAGTGGGCGCTGCCACTCCACCGCCACTGTCACTTGCCCTGCCATGGAGGGGAATGATTGATGCCCCAGCTTGGGTCTGACTCATGCGTCTGTTGAGAGCTCTTGGCTGAGTCCTTCAGTGGGTGTGTGTGACACTTGGGTCTCAGAGCTGTGTGATGGGAGTGGCTTCTGAGGAGTCTCCACTTCCTCATCCTTTGGGAGACTGTTCTTGGCCGAATTGGAGGTGTATTCAGCACCCAGAGGAGCAGCTGTGCCCTTCTGTTAGCTGTGGTTTTCTGGGGCCCTGCAGAGACCTGCTGTGAGCCCCGTGCTGTCCTAGCCTGCTGGAAATATGTCTGTCCAGTCACAGTGCTGGGTGACAGACACAGTGCTGTGGAGATGCTGACTTAGGAACCGCACAAGGTGTCTCGGCTGTCAGGATGAGGGTTTAGGAGGCGAGAAGGAGGGCCAGGAGGCCAGGGAGCCATGGGCTTTCCTCTTGAGGCCCTGCTGCAGCCAGCGGGCTGGAGCTCTCTAGGGCTGTGCTTTAGACAGGAAGCCACTGTCACCACCAAGCTCTCACCTTGCATCTAGCCCCTCCATGCCTGCCGTGTCAGGGGTGTCCTGCAGGCTGGCAGGTGAGGGGAGCACCGGCCATTCCTGCCTGAGGGGTACCTGTGCCTGGCCTTGGGTTCTGGGGCTGGTTATATGTGACTGAGAAAGCATCAGTTTTTCTTTCTTCCTTTCAAAAAGGACCAAAAGACCGATGTTACTTAGTGTCTTAGAAGAGGATACTGAAGTGTATTGGTGTGGGAAGGAAGGACAGCTTTTGGTTATCAGTGAAGAGGCCCAGCCTCAGGATTGGAGGCTCACACCAGAGAGACACCCAGGAGTCCTCGGAGTCATGGCCTGGCTCTGTGGGTGGCACTTGAGAGGCTGCAGAAGGACAGAGCTTTGTCTGAAGCACAGACTCAGTAACAACCAAAGTTATTGTCCCTGTGTCTGGGAATTGATCGTATAGTCCCAGCTACTTGGGAAGCTGAGGTGGGAGGATTACTTGATCTCAGGTTAGAGGCCAGCCTGGTGACATAGTGAGACTGTCCCTTAAGACAGACAAACAAAACCTCAAAAACAAGCAAACAGATTGAACCGGGCAATTTCAACATGAGGCTGTCCTGGGAGATGGCATTTCTGGCGTGGGTGGCATCTCCAGATGCCGCTGTGTTCCGAGATCTTGGGCTAGATGCACCCTGGCTGTGTGGCTAGGGTGGGCCAGGATCTCTGGGGTGAGGTAGTGGAGACACGGAGACAGACTCAGCTCCCAGGGCCTCGAGGGAAAGGAAAACCCATAGCTCCCCATGTGGGCTGGGTCCCCGAGCTACCTGGGAGGGCCTCATTAGGGCAGTCCCAGCAGGTCCCGCTACACGGGGCGGGGAATGGGTGTGAGGCCAGGAGCTGAGCTGGGGGGTTTCATGTCTAGAGGAAAACCTGCCAAACCCTTTCAGACCTGGTCTTGGGCTTTTCAGGCCTGGCAGGTATACAGACAGGTTCTTCTCTGTTGCTGTGAGGTCATCAGCCTCACGACACCCACACACCGTCTCCCCACACGCTAGGATGTGGCTCCTGGCATAGGAGGAGTGACATGACTTCAGAATGGTGTCCAGGACCCACACTCCGGCCGTGTGTGGGGGATGACCCTGACGTGGCCATGGCCCTGAGAGCATCCTCGGTTTCCTGCCCATACCCAATGATGGTGCCAGGGCCGTATGGGCTGGTCACTGCAGCTATGTAGCACAGGCAGCTCTGCTCAGGGTGTCTTTTGCTGTTATCTGTCTCAAGGACTCAGTTTGGTATTTTCCCATCCCCTCAGGTATCCTTGGGAAATAAAGAAAGAAGCAAAGGTGTGTTCTACAAAGCACTGCAGAGCTGTCCCTGGGCCAAGGTAAGCGTCACAGATGGTGGTGTCTTCAGATTTCCACGACTGTCCTGCAAGGCCTCTGTGCAGCCAGCATCTGCTGTGCCCTGGGACCACTGCTCTGGATGCCAGCTCCTTGTCCCAGGGTGCATCAGAGCCTTTCCCTAGGGCAGCTGTGCCCCGTGGGTCAGAGCCTTGTGGACGCTGGCTCCTGTCTATCCCTGGGGCCGGTGCTCCCCAGGAACCTCCTGTGGGTGTCTGGTTTCCCAGCATCTGCCCCTCGTTCAGCCCAGATGCTCAAGAGCTAGGCCCATGCCTGACGCTTGCAGAGCCAGGTCAGGACACACATTGGGAAGTCCCCCCGTTGGGCCGCACAGCCCCAGCACTCTGGCCTGCTCCTGGGAGGGCAGCCTTGCATGGGCGCTCTGGCCTCCGCCTGGCATCTGTGGGTTCTGCGTCCTTCCTGAACAGACCTGAGGTTGAGGGGCCCAAGCAGGGGGACACAGGCTTGGAGGTGGCTCTAAGGATCCTGCTGCTTCCTGGGCTTTCCAGGCTGCTGGGCCATGGCTGATGGGCAGGGCCTTTTCAGGTGCTGTACATGGATGCTGTGGAGTACTTCCCGGATGAGCTGCAGGAGGTCCTGGACCTGCTGACCGAGAAAGAGCTACGTGTGCGCCTGCCACCCGAGGAGCTGGAGCTGCTGCTGGAGGACTAGCAGGGCTGAGGGTGCAAGGCCAGGGACTGCCGGCTGCCTTCCCAGAGACACCACAGCGTGCACACACTGGGGTGTGTACGTGATGCAGAAGCTGTCCTACATACCAGACATGTGAACACATGGACACAGATGAAAGCCGTGCAGGTGATCGTCACAGCCATGTGGTTGAGGCGCGGGTGCGATCTTGTTCCTTCTGCTCCCCAAGCCCTGCCAGCCCCAGCCCCACAGTGACCACATCTCCTCAGGGGCGTGCTCAGTGGTCCTGCCATGCCCTGCCCTCTCCTACCTCAGACCTTAGGTCCCTCAGGCCTGGGGCCTCTTCCCAGGCTCGTCTGTCGGAAAGATCCTGCTGGTGTGTAAACCAGCATCGTGGAGGGTGACTTGACTTTTGTGTTCTGGCCTGTGTTGTGGGTGTGGCTCCTCACCCCAGAGTCCTGGTGGGGTGACGCCTGCATCTGTGGGCCAGCAGCGTGCCTGGGAGTGTGGGGCTCGGCTGACCTCACGGGGTTGGAATCTGCTCTCAAGTGGTTCCAGGCATCTTTCATGGGGAGGGTCTGGGCAGTGAATGGCCTCTGCAGGCCTGCTGACACCACTGGCCGCTGTGGAAGATACCCATGGTACTCTTTTGTCTCTTGTGCACCGGCACTGAGATACAAAGACTGGGACTGGCCACTTCTGGTTTGGTTTCTGAGGGCTGTGATGGAATAAAACAGAAGTATCCACATTCAGACCACATGCTGCTTCTGGAGAGATTCTTTGTGCCAGGTCATGCTATTAATGTGTTGCTGGAGAGATTCTTACCTTCTCTGAGCTCCTGCACCAAAGAGGATTGTTTCTCTCTGGGGATTTTTTATTTTTTGGGTCAGGGTCTCACTCCGTTGCCCAGGCTTGAGTGCAGTGGCATAATCACGGCCACCGCAGCCTCAACCTTCTGGGCCCAGGCGATCCTCCTGCCTTAGTCTCCCAAGTAGCTGGGACTACGGGCTTGTCCACCATGCCTGGCTAATTTTTTTTCTTGTAGAGACAAGGTCTCGCTGTGTTGCTCAGGCTGGTCTTGGACTCCTGGGCTCAAGCATTCCTCCTGCTTCAACCTCCTAAAGTGCTGGGATGACAGGTGCAAGCCACTGTGCCCACTCATTATTATTTTGGTGCTCAGACTGTCCCAGATTTGGCCTGCAGGAGTCCCTTCAGGCATCTGTATCCCCTTGATGTGGCTTCGCCATTCCTTGGGCATTTCCTGCTTTCTGGCCCTGCATGTTCTAGGTTTATCTTACACTTTAACTGCCTGTCCCTGGAGTCAGCCCCAGCTCCTCTTAGTGGAGAATGATAATCAGCAAAACCCGTCAGGTGTGCTCGCGGCAGCCGGGGTTGCTGTTTCGGGCGCTCTTGGTGGACGGTTCCTCCTGTCTCACTCCTCAGGCAGAGCCCCGGCTCCCTCCATCCTCACTGTCTACCTCCCCAACTGCCCTGCATGAATCAGCCTCTTTCCTCTGCCATGTCCCACTCCCAGGTGCCCCCCTCACCCATGTGGGCTCCCGGCCTCATCAGGCCCTCCCCCACACGCACACCTCCTCTCCCGGGGCTCCCACACCCAGACGCACTTCCCCTAACTTGTCCCCATGCTGTGCCACTCCACACGGATGCCCCCGCACAGCTCCCACGGGTACACTGTGCTCACCTGGTTCTGGGCCACCCTCTTGTGGATGACCTTTGTGGTTGGTGGCTTGGCCTCCAAAGGCGTCCACATGCTAAGCCTGGGAACCTGTGACTATTCCATGGCAAAGGAACTATACAAATGGAAGCTAGGGTTGTAGACCATGCAGTAGGGAGAGTACCCCAGCTTTGGGGGGCCGTGTCATCTCAAGGGTCCTTGAGTGGAGAGGAAGGTCAGCCAGAGAGTCAGACAAAAGGAAAGGTGGGACTCAGGATTCCAGGGCTTCCTGGCTGAGGCGAAGGAGGGGCCTTGTACCAGGGAGTGTGAGTGGCCTTTGAGGGCAAGACACTGGGTTCCAGCAACACCCCACAGACAGGCAATGGGTGGAACTAAGTCCTGCTAATGCAAGACTTCAGGCATGCCGCATGCTGGACTTCTGACCTATGGAACCAGCGACAAGGCTGTGCTGGTTTAAGCCGGGTCTGTAGCTGCTTGTTAGTGGTGGGAGGAAACTAGCACACCCTCCTCACCCAACCCGTGTCGGGCCACCCAGGGGTCATGTGCCTCGACCTGCCCTGCGGTGGCCTTGGGACCCATTTCTTCAGAGTGAAGGAAACAGTTGGAGAAAGGGAGGGGAAGGGAAGTCCTGACACATCTTTGAACTTGTGAGAGGGGTGAGGTTTCTGAGCCCAAGAACAAGGGAAGGCAGGGCTGGCATGAGGTTTTTCAGCCTCAGTCTTCCAAGATTTTTTTAGGAAACCCCAGTGTCCCAGGAATACCAATACTTACTTCCTGCCCCAAGAACCCTAGCATGGCAGCGTGGTCAAAGAACTTCCAGAAAGCAGCTGCATTTCCTTCTCTTTGGAAGTGAGTCACACAAGCACAGCCTGTTACCTAAGCAGCAGAGACTGCTGGCCGGGGCTCTGGTCATTACCCTGTCACTGCTGAACCGCCAGCTTCGGAGGTGGCAGTGGGGACAGCAGCAATGGAAGCCTGCCCTCCTCTGTACTCCCATGATTGCTGGCCCGAGACGTCCTGCCCAGAATCTTCCCTATAGCCGACTGGGCCACCCTGCTGAGCTATGGGTGTGGAGACTCCAGAAACAGGACTGTGTGAAAGCTTTATTGGGCACAGAGTGTCGCACAGGGCCCACAGACAGAGCTCGCCCAGTGGGCACATTGTGCCCCACACTCCAGAGACACGGGGCGCTTTGTAACACAGATCAACTGCAACACCGGATTCCTCTGGGTGCCTTCCATGGCCTCTGCCTGCTCATGGTCAGGAGAACACCCGCCCACCTTCCTGGTGGTCACTGTGGCTCACTAGAGATAAAGCCCCTCGGGGGTGCCTTCTTGCTTTTTGTAAAGAACGTTTTCTTTAGATTTCTTGAAGTCTTCATTTGTGACTTTCATTCTACGCTCTCTCAAGGCCATGAGACCAGCCTCTGTACAGATCGCCTGGAAGAAAGAACACAGGTTCAGGTGGTGGGGGGAGGTGGGGAGGGCCATGATTCTATTCTAACGAGCTCTGAAAGGGCCACTTTGAAATAAGGCACAAGACACCCAGACCAAACACGAATTGTTCATTCGAGAAAAGACTACATTTTAAAAATGTTTTAAGCATCCTCGTTATTTTCTGAAGGGGTCTGAGGTGGCTTAAACATGTGAGTAACTACACCCAAAAGGAACGGGCCTAGGACCAAGGCTGCAGGTTCCAGCCTCAGCGCAGGCTGTGTGGCTTGGTTGGCTGTGAATTCTTACAGCTCTGCTTTTGTTAAGGGACCAGAACTCCTAAGAGACAGAGGAATTATACCTGAAATTCAGAGGCAACTGAAAGATTATATTGTAAGAAAACATGTCTTCTGGTTAGATACTATAAACTGCAGTACAGTATTCTAATGTATTTATTTTCTCAATGCTACTTGCCAAAAAAAAAAATTCATGCAAGATGATGTGATTAAAGCACACTTAATTCTGCACAGAAACTTGTGTTTGGTTATGGCCGTCAGGGCATTTACTCCAAGTAGTTCAATAGAAAAGTCCACAAGTGTGTCATGTATGAAAAAGTGAAAGCAAATGGACAAACTGTTAAAACTGCTGTAATAACTTTAAATAACTTCAATTTTTAAACGATAGTTTTCCTCATCAACTGAGGCACTGACTAGTTCTCCGGGACTGCTGTAGTGATCTGTTGGGCTTGGAGCAGGCACCAGCTGGGAAAAGCCCTGCACATGCCGTCCCCACCTAACCATGGCACTTATGCCCAGGTGAAGCCTAGATCTTCCCAAGGCCAGCAGGTCACACTCATATCCAATGCCACCAGGCGCTGATACACACTGGTTAGCTAAGAGGCAGTGTTCTAACTCATGCATACTCATACTAAGTGGCACAATCAGGTACAACCTACCAGGGCTACACTGGGAACAAGAATGCAGTAGGGATGGTCCCCACGCAGATGTGGGGTAAGTTCCCCAACAGACACTCTCCCCCGACCCAGAACTGAGCAGCTATGTCTGACACACCTGAGGAAGTCAGCTGGGTCTGCGGAGAAGGAGGTGAGCTCAGTGCCAGTGACTCACCTTTGTGGCTACATATCCTTGTGGCTATGGCTACACGTCCTTGTAGCTGTGGCTACAGGTGGTTAATTCATAAATGAGGCATTAAAAGTAACTTCAAATGACAAGTGCATCTACCACCTGGATGTCATGGTGAACCAGCATGACGCTGACCATGTTAACATGCAGACGCCCCATATCCAGGCTAACTACCACCTCAAAGGCATGCTGTCCCTCCTGACTAATGGGCCACGTTTCCAGAAAGTGCTGACCTGGCCCTGGTTCTTACCTTGATGTCAGCACCAGAGAGGTCATCTTTAGCCATGATCAAGTCATCCAGGGTCACATCATCAGCCAGCGTCATCCTGCTTGTGTGAATCTGAAAGATGCGCTTCTTGGTCTTTTCGTCGGGCAGGGGGAACTCGATCTTCCTGTCAATGCGGCCTACAAGCAAAAATCTTTATCACTCCCCCTTCCAGGCCAGCTTACTCTGGCTCAGGAGACCTCAGCCCAGCTTCCTACACATGCAGTTGCAGTCGGACAGAGTATCCCTTAAAAGTCAACATTCATTTTTGTAGCCTGGACATTTCTACATTTGAACTCACCCCATTTAAAAGAAATCCTCTCTGCCCTGGCACCTTCAGAAATAAATGAAAGGAGCAATTCCTGAAGTGTCTTTCATGAAAAATGACAGATCCACCTTGCTAGAAGCATCATAAAGGACAACACACAATTGACTGCCACTTCTGACACCACCTGATGTAAGGAATTAATCCTCGCTATCACAGGAATCACTGCTTTAGGAAGCAGCAAATTCTTGAGGTGAAAGGGAACATTCTGGAAGAAAAGGTCAAGACGTACGACTGGCATTCAAAGGGCCAGGTGCACAGCCTGTATCACATTTTTCGGCTCTCACCTAGGGAACCTGACTTGGGTAAGTTATTCTAAGTGTCACTACAGGATCTGCCTTTCTGTGTATCATTTAGTCTCCCAGAGCACATGTTAAAATTCAAATAGAGGTAAGCAGGTTAGTACTCCATGAACAGCAGCAACTCAACCTGGTCTGATGAGTGCTGGGTCCAGAGTTTCTATCCGGTTTGTCGCCATGATCACCTTCACATCTCCCCTCGAGTCAAACCCATCCAGCTGGTTCAGCAGCTCCAGCATTGTCCTCTGAATCTCTCTTTCCCCTCCTGAGTTTGAGTCGTATCTTTGGAAGAGAAGAGAAGAAATGATGACCCTGCTGATGTCCTGCTACAGGGGAGTTACAGCAAAGATTTATCAGGACGGGTCATTCTTCCTCAACCTAATTGTCACTCAATTATTCGAGAGAAAAGAAAAGTCACCCCTGCTGTATCAGTGTGTGCCCTCCAAACTTCTGTGTTTAATCCCCACTGTGATGGTATTAAGAGGTGGGGCCTTTTGGAAAGAGAAAGTCATAGAAAGGGCCTTATAAGGCAGAGATTTGTGCCTTATAGAAGGGCTGGAGGGAAATAGCTCAGGCCCTTTTTGCTCTTCTGCCATCTG